AAAGAGTTCAAAAATGTATTATAATATTTTCAGTTTTAGTTTAATTATATTTTTCATTTTCAAAGTAGAAAAATATATTGTAATTATTTTATTTAATAAAATATAATTTAAATTTTTAATACTAAAATTAAAAGATTAAATAATAATAAATTTAATTCTTTAAATTTAGTATTTAGAAACTAAAATTATAGTTTCTCTGTTTTAAAAAATTAAAATAAATATTTAAAAATAAAAATCAAAACTAGTATTATCTTAAATTTATTAAAAGTATAATTAAATATCTATTTTCTTCAATTTTTCTTTTTTAACTTCTCAATTCTGCATTTTTGTTAATTCTATCATTATATTATCATCCTCATCTCCTTCCATCTTTTACTTTATGTTTACAATAATTAATATTCTTAAATAATTAATATTTTTATTTATAAATTTTTAATATATTTTTGAGAAATTAATCAATTATAATCTATTATTTGAAAAACTAATCAATTATTTAGAAAACTAATCGATTATAATTAATTATTTGAGAAATTAATCAATTATAATCTATTATTTGAAACACTAATCAATTCTAATCAATTATTTAGAAAAGTAATCGATTATAATTAATTATTTGAAAAAATTATCCAATATGATCGGTTATTTGAAAATTTAATCGATCATAATGGTTGTATATGATAGCGGTTGCACTTGAACCGCTCTTAAAATAGAATATCTAATAGCGGTTAAACCTTAATCACTATCTAAAATATAGTTTAGATAGCGGTTAACGTGGAATCGCTATTATATAGGTTGAATATAAATTTAAATATATTTTTAATTTATTTAAATATGGTTTATTTTTAGTATTTATAAAATAGATTAGTTTTAAATTTTTAACTTTTCTAGGAGTCTATTTTTAATCTTTGTTATTAATTATGTTAAAAATGAAAAAATATTAATTAGTATACTTAAACTAATGTATATTGATTATCTAATGTATATTGATATAATTTTGTTGTATATCAATTATATGAAAATAACCATGGTTAAGTAATTAATAATAATAAAGCAATAAATTTAAAGATTAGATTAAAAATAAAGTTTTATAAAATAAAATTGTAATAATTTGATTAAAATTTTATTTTCTTAATTAATTAAGTTAATGAGGAATGAAAATGTGATCATTTGATGTGTTTAATTTTTTTAATATAAATTTTTAAAATATAATTTAATTTCAATTGAAAAATAAATTAAAGAATATTTATTATTAAACTTTTCTTAAACAATGTATTGAATAGTTAATATTACTCTAGTCTTAATTTATTACAATTTAAATTTTTAATAAATTTGATTTATTTTTAATAATATTTTTATTTTAGTAATTTAAAATTAAAGTTAATCTTCATTTTGTTAATATTGAGACCAAAATTTATTTTTAAAGTATCTTTTAAAAATTAAATTATTTTTAGAAAATAAATTACTTTTAAAAAATAAATTGTCAAAAATATACTAAAACAATTAAAGTATATTTATAAAAAAATAAATTTAAATATCATAAAAAAATAATGTTCGTTAGCGACCAATTTAAATTCGGTCGCTAAATTAGTCGCTAAATGATTTTTTTTTATTTTAGTGTGGAATAGTCACCGATTTAGCGACCGAAAATTTGCGACGCAAACTATTGGTCGCTATTTCGGTCGCTAACTAAAAAATGTGAAGCCAAATTATATTTCGGTGGCTAAATCGGTTGTTAAATTGTGACCGAATTAATTTGGTCGTTAATTTGGTTGCTAATAGTGACTGAATTAAATCGGTTGCTAAATCGGTTGCTAATTGCGATCGAATTAAATCGGTTGCTAAATCGATCGCTAATTGCCACCGAAAAAATTCGGTCGCTAATTTCGGTCGCTAAATGTGTTTTTTCTTGTAGTGAATTGTCATTTTTTTTATTCTAGTATATGTTTTTAATGATTTATCTACCTTGACAAAGAACTCTTTATTCAACCAATTGGTCAAAAGGTTGTTTAACATTTACTTTTGGTCCTAGTTAGCAACTTAATCTACATTATCATCTCTTAACAATTTATGAAACTTAAATTACTAGTTGTTTAACAAGTTTGTAAGCTATAAAGACATGGATGATTAATAGTTTATCATTTGATCAAGAGGATTGAACTTCCTAGTGATCTTTTTCAAATGAATATGTTGAATTAGATTACTTCCACTAATAAAATCATTTTCAAGACATTTTGCATTTTTTATTCCACAATTCTAGTGCTATATATGAGACTAAAGATAGAACTTATATCCTGTGGAATTTTTACCATATCCAATGATAAATCTACTAATAATCTTAGAGTCTAATTTCTTCTGTTGTGGTTTATACATTCTCACTTAAGCGGACATCCCTAACTGCGTTTATATCATAAATTGAGTTTTCAATATTTGAATAACTTAAAATGTGCTTTTAAAATAACTGGAACTTAGTTTATCATGTACACAGTAGTCTTAGTTGCTTCTATTCACATAAATATTTGTATTATTATTTGTCATGTTTCTCACCCTATCCATTTAAGTTTATATCATAAGTATTTGTATTATCTATTTGACATCATAATCTTATATTATTTTTCATAACTCTACTTCTTTACACACCAAGACATCCAAAATTTAATAAAATAAATAAGAATACATATATATTATGAGTATATCCTATGAAATATATTAGAATACTTACATTCATCATGTTTTCACGTACCACATCCTTCATCCCATTTTAAAAAAAAAAATATATTTGTACTTATGAGAACATCTCATACTTTGTATAGGAAGATAAATCAAACTCTTCTTAAATATTGCATTGAATAGTAATTCTTATTATAGTTAAATATATCTTATTATACAATATAATATATTTTTTTAACTTTTGAAACTCTTGAAGAAAAATAAAAATGTAAAGTTTCATACATGTCAAAATAAAATAAAATCATATCATTATTAAAATAAGTATTACATATAATAACTATCATTATACTAATAATTATTATAACTATTATTATCACCAAAATTATTTTTATTAATAAAATTACCATAATCACCATTATCATAATCTTTTCTACTTATACAATCATCACCTATCATTATCTAATGATTATGAATAATATATATTAATCATTAAATATAATTAATTTTTATTTCAATTTTATTATTATTTGAATATTATAAATATATATTATTAAAGTTTGAAAAAGTGCAAAACTGTTCCTAAGTAAGAGAAAAAATTCATGATACATAATATTATTTTCTTTTTTATAATTAGTAAAAATTAAAAATGTCATAGAAATATCTAGATAAGAAAGTTAGATAAAAAATAATATTTAATATTATTTGTGTCAATTTTTTCTGTAAAATATATATAATAATAAAATAAAATAAAATAAAAAATATATTATATTAACAGTAAAATAGATTGATTTATGTATTCAAAATAAAATTTAATAATCCATTAAAAAAATATCTTTAATTGAATTGGTCAAATTTAATCTAAATACTAAAAATATTTATAATGTACAACTATCAAATGAATTTTTGACTCTAAGACAAAAGTCATGATATCAAATTGGTGACTATTAAAGTGGAACTTGCTCTACTTTATTACCAACAGGAAGAATAAGTTTCATTTTAATAATGTTTCTCCTTCCTTGTCCAGTCACATATAATTTCAATAAAAGAATAAATGACAACAAGAATTACAGATATTCACAATTTTTTTTTTACTTTTAACACTAAATTATAATTTTACTTTTTAAAATTTTAATCTACAATTTTTGTTTCAGACTTTTAAAATTCACACTTCAAATAAATTTCAATTTATGCATGTTTTATTTATTTTATTTTAACCCTACCTAAAACAATAGTTAAAGGTACAGTTATGAAATAGTTTAATTAATAAAAATTTAAATAATAAATGTAACTGTTTTTAGATGTTATCATCATAAACCTTATAAAATAAGCATTGAATTAATACAGTTATTAAATCTTATCATCATAATATGCATATTAATCTTACCATCTTCATATTTTATAATATACTTTTTTTATTTCAAGATTCTAATTCATTCATATTTTTAATTTAAAAATAATAAATAAAATATATTTTTATTACATAAGATTTTCTTTCTCTTGTTGTAAAAGAAAAAGACATGAAATTCCTATATCTAATTCTTCTCAAGATTCTTATATTTTTTTTTTTTCAATTCTCCATATTTGGTAATTGTCAATAGGTGTCTACGTGCCCCCACAGATTTCACACTGTTCAAGGGTTTGTTTGTCGTCTTCTCTACTGCACCGCAACTCTGACCAATTCAGTGGCGTTTCTACCTTCTCTGCCGCACCGTTATGCTGACCAATTCGGTGACTAATAGATCCGGACCACCTTCCCATGATATCTTCTTCACTTCACTCCAATACTGCTCTTGGTTACAGTTGTGATATCTAGGGTTTTAATTTTTTTTTCATTTCTCTTTAATTTTTCTTATCTTGACAGTTGACTTTCACTTCTGGATTGTGTTTCTGTTATCCCATTTGTGATCTAGATTTTGCAGTTGTTATCACTCTCTGTAATTGGAGACTCTTGGATAAGTTTATCTTAAATATCATCCTACTCTTACCTACGTCAATCTATTAATTTGAAAAGCAGTGCAAAAATAAGAAAAAAAACAAAATAAAACACAAGGTAAAAATAAGAGGAGAGAAAATTAGGGTTGTTCTTGGTATAGCTATAAACCTCACTAGCCACACCCTTATAGCTGTGTCTCAAACTTTTCACATCTTCATGTTTCCACATTCTGCAATCTGAGACTCAGTGAATGTGTCTTGTGTATAACAGTAAGTTAATCTCACTAACATGTTCATACTTCGCTCTAGATCTTACATGATGTTGTGAGTATAGCTTTACAATGTGGTTAACCTTTTTTTTTTTTTTTTTTTTTTTTTTTTTTTAGGAGATCTAAACAGACATGGACTCATCAGGGTCCTCCTCCAAGAAGCAGCAGGTTGATGAAGTTCGAGATATAATCAGCAACCCACCGATGTCATTATTGGTGGCATTCTCTCTTTTCTTCCTTGTGTTTTATCCAAGAGATGGAAGAACCTGTGGACAACCATCACTAAACTATTCACTTTATCGATAAAAAGGTGTACTATCACCAAAACATTAGCAGAACTCCCTTTATACACTCTGAATATAGAGTACTGCTCCATCTGAATATTGCATGCATTGAAGGTTTCACTCTTTCCCTTACAAAGGATTATGATGCTTACCATATTAATCAGTGGATATCTGCCCTTCTAAACCGAGGAGTCAAAGAGCTTTCAATAGAATCAAACAGAAATCTTGAGATTTCCACACATTCTCTTTGCAAAATCCCAGTCCTTACAGAAATTGGTGCTGAATATGAATGCTTGTGGTGCCCGAATGAATGTGAATGCTTGTGCTGTCAAAGTACCTCCCCTTGTTTGTCTTTCATCTCTTACTGTTCTTAAGTTGACCGGAATCAATGTTTATTTTCCTGGATCTGATGGGTCCAAACATTTGATCTTTGTGAGGTGAAATGTGATATTCATTCAAATGAAAAAAAGTTAACCAAGGCAATTTCGATATTTATCACTTAACTACCCACTTTCTTATCTTCAATAATGGATTTATACGAGGGTGGGAACTCACTTCTCCATCACCCAAAATCCACCAAAATCAGTATAACTAAACCAATATATATTTTCATAAATCTTCTTCTTCAAATCCTTACTACTATAAATATCAGTAGAAACAAACAAAATATTAAAGTATTAGATAGTTCAAATAATTTTTTATTGAAGAAATTTTATATGGTACAATAAGTTGTTTAATTGTTTTTAGAATTGATTTATCAAGTCACTTACAAAAATCAACACATTAAAGCAAAGGAAGAGAGAATGAGTTTTTTAAAATTTATTAAATAAAATTAAATAAAATAAATTTAATATTGAATTACTTAAAAATAATGTTGCATCATAAATATTTATTTCATATTTTTGAAAGTAAAAAAATATATATATAAATTGCTCCTAAAGGAGATGCTTATATTTTGTGTTAAAAATATGATACCATGTTTTTTTATATATTTATTTAAACTTGTGTTCCAATATATACTTCTTTATATATAAGGCTAAATTAAATTTTTAAATAAGTTCATTATTAAAATAAAATTATAATATAATAGTGTCTTTACATGTTGAGCGGTAGTAATACTATGACCCATTGGTGGTTCTTGATGTTTATCTCTAATTAGATTGTAACATTTAGACACTGTATACCCTAAATCTTGTCTGACTTCCTAATAAAGCCAGAAATTACCCATTTCGAAGATGGTCAAGATTTTATTAAGTCCCTATTAGCTTTTTTTTAGGTTCACTAGTGCAAAAATGACATTTTACGTCACCCAATTATCATCACATGTCAAAATATTCGACGTAAATAAAATGCGGTGATAATTTTGTAAATAAGAGGTGAAACTATTACGTCGTATATTGTAGGAGGTGACGTAAAAAACCTCTTTTACATCGCACCTGGTATAATGTGACGTAAAAGAGGACTTTTTACGTTGCGTGGGGAGTGCGCGACGTAAAAAGTGATACTTTTTACGTCATGTACTAGGGTGTGTGACGTAAAAAGTGCATTTTATTCTCTTCTAGACTCACTCCCGCATCTCGCGCCGCAAGGGTTTTTGAGAACGACGATAAGAACGGCGATGACAACTATCTTTCCACACAATTTTCGATCATTTTAGCAGTGAAGAACATCAACATTGTGTCTCATTTTACGAATTTGACATTTCTCCCCGATTGGATTCGAGTTTGAAATCGTTTTCGTGTTTACTTGAGGTTAGTGTTCTATGTCTCCTGATATATGTTCAAATTGAATCCGTGATTATTTTTAGGGATCTTAATCACGTCATTGTATGAATGTCTCCACTGGATTGTTATTGGAATGTCATTATTTTGTTTGAGTGTATTTTCGGTTTACACACTCCATTTACGTGCTTTGTTGTTTGTACATTAATTTATTTTTAAATATAAATTTTGAATCTCTAGGAGTAACGAAACTTTATAACATAATATGAATCGAAATTGGATGAATGTCCGTCGTATTAGTGAAGAGTACGAAAGGGAGTTGATAAATTTTTTAAATTTGCTAGTGAAAATGGAAAATGCATTGAATAATATATGACTTTTTTTCATTTAGAATCGTGTCTAGAACTAATGTTCTAAGTGGAAAACCCAAACAAAGACTTTGCAATTCATTTATCCTAAGGTTAGAAACTTATATAATAAGTGAATACCATAGCTATTGTTTGTATTTAAATTTTGAAAATAACATTATATTTTATTCATCATTTTAGTGTAATAAGCAAACAGACTCATTTGAATGTGGTTACTATGTTATGTATTGAATGAGAGCCATAATTTGTGCGGGTATAATTGATTCTTGAACGGAGGTAATTGCTTTCAACATTAGTTAAGTTTATTTAACTTTATGTGTGTTGCATGTTTACAAGAGTCAAATTAATGTTTCAGGTATTTCAAGATCCATCTCCATTGCCAGAATATGATATCACACAAATTAGAGAGCAATGGGCAAGGTTTTTCGTTTAACAATTCTAGTACTTAATTTTTTAGGTTATTGTTCATATTATATTGTGTGTATTATGTAGTTTAGGTAGCTTAGTTTGTACTAACTTTTAGTTTGTACTAACTTTTAGTTTGTAATAAATTTTAGTTTGTAAGTTATTGTTTGTATTATATTGTTTTATTATGTAGTTTGAATTATATATAATATTATATTTTTTAATTACATAGCTAAAGAAACCTAAACCTCTGGACTGTCTGGTTATAATATATATTTGCAGGTTTTGGTTGTAAGACAAAATAAACCCAATTTTTTTTAAAAAGGAGCAAATTTACGTCGCATATTGGTATACGCGACGTAAATTTACGTCGCATATACCAATATGAGACGTAAATTTATGTCGCATATTGGTATATGCGATGTAAATTTATGTTGCGTATACCAATACATGACGTAAATTTGCTCCAAATTTTTTAATTTTTGATACTTTTTACGTCTGTTTAGTGTAAATGCAACGTAAATTAACGTCAGGTCTCGATAACTAACGTGAATTTACGTCGGGCTAAGGGTATGACGTAAATTTACGTCTCCTGTTTTAACGCCAGTCTTAAATGCGACGTAAAAAACCTAAAATACCTGACGTAAAAACCCCTTTTTGCACTAGTGGTTCCATTTAAGATAGGAAGGGTTTTCTGAGGAAATAAAAATCAGAAATTTTGTCAAGAACAGCGGATGGCCGTCCAGGTTAGCCAGACGGCCGTCCATGCCTATTTTGAGGCAATGGACGACCATCCACTTAGACCAGACGGCCGTCTATGCTCACTTTTGGCCATGGACGGTCATCCATGTTGAATAGACGACCTTCCATGCTCACTTTTGGCCATGGACGGTCGTCCATGTTGAATAGACGATTGTCCATGTTGAATAGATGGTCGTCCATGTTGAATAGATGACCGTCCATGCTCACTTTTGGCCATGGACGATCGTCCACTTTTCTTGGCGCGATTCCCTATAAATAGGAGCCTCATTTCTCGTTTTTCAAACACCTTTCTAGTCCTACATTCTCTAGGAAGTATTTTGACACTTGAGAGTGACTCTGGGCATTATTCCCGAGTCCAAGTGAGCTTTCCGATTTTCGTTTAAGGTAGAAATCAATTAAGGAAGTCTCCTTTTGAGACATCCGATGCTCAGTAGTGTGGTATTTTATTTTTTGTTCGAGGAAGAAGTGTCTCTATAGAGTGCGGGGACTTCCAAAAAGTGTCCTCAAGTTCAAGATTTATAAAAGCTCGCTTCGGAGGTTCTTCTTCATATCTCTTCTTTTTTACTGATTTCCTTGTATGCATTAGATACTAGGGCCATGTAGATATTTAAAATTCCGTAAAGTAGATAAATAAATAGGGTAGAAGCATAATTTTTTTTAGTCTTTATTATATGAATTAGTCCATCATAGGGAACCCGAAATGGGCGTTGTGGGGTGCTAATACCTTCCCCACACATAACTAACTCCCTTGCCCAACTCTGGTTGTAACGACCAAAGTTGGTTTTTCTAAGCCAACACTTTCTTTTCTTCCTTTTCCGATGTTTATGGTAAAAACATCGATGACGACTTGTAGAACCCAAATCTTGCCCAGCCTCACAATAAAGAACAGAAGACTTCTGTTCGAAGATGGACAAGGCCTCAAAGGTCCCTAGGCATGCTTAGTAGGCTCCATGTTAGAATAGGAAAGATTTCTGTACACAAAAATAAAAAAATTCTGCCCGAAAGCTCGAGATGGCCATCCCGATTATCCAGTCGGTCGTCTTGTCCTACAAGGTGAGACGACCGTCTCGCCAAAGGTCGAAACGACCATCTAGCCGCCAGTAATGGATCGAGACCGCCTTCTCGTCACTTGGCGAGACGGCTGTCCTGAATGGCGAGACGGTCATCTCGACCTTTGTCAGGCGAGATAGTCGTCCTAGTCTGACGGACACAAATTTCTATAAATGGGGGTCTCTTTTCCCTCGTTTTCCACAACTTCTCCACCTGACTTGATCCTCATATACTCTTCTATAACCTCTCTGAAGCATTTCCAGAGTCCTATGGTTCTTTTTATACATTCTAGAGTCCTTCGGTAGAAGAGTGAGAAGCACTGTAGAGCGTGGGGTTTGCCAAAAAATGCCCTTTACAAGAATATATCTAAAAGCTTGCTTCAGAGGTTTTTTACATCCCTTATTCTCTTTCTTTTATGGCTTTTATTACTCTCTCTATGCATTAGATATTAGGGTCATGTAGTCAATTATTTAAATTTCGCAATGAATAAATAAGGGTAAAAGCATGATTTCAATGTTCTTATTTTTTTACAATAAATAGTTCATCATAGGGAACCTGAAAGGGGCATCGTGGGGAAGCTAATACCTTCCCCGCATGTAACTAACTCCCTTACCTAACTCTGTTTGTAATGACCAAAGTTGGTTTTTCTTAAAACCATCGCCTTCTTTTTTCCTTTTCCAATGTTTTTGGTTAAAATATTGGTGGCGACTCCAGAACCCTTTACGAAAACCTCACCCTTAGAATAGGTCGGTTATCGGACATCCTAAGGGTGATGACAACGCTTTAAAAACGCGAGTCGAATAAAAAAAACCATCGTGTCGCTCCGACCGCCTCTTTTGACGGCGGCGACAGATGGCGACTCCACTGGGGAAGCTAGAGAGTTGATCCCATTTAGTGATGGACTAGTTTGAGAAATAAAAACTTGAACTTATGCTTTTACCCTTTCTTGCTTTT